TTCAAGCGATCCTCCCACCTCAGCCTCCTGGGTAGCTGAGACTAGAGTTGGGTGCTACCACACTCAGGTAATTTTTTCATTTTTTGTACAGATGGAGGTCTTGCCATGTTGACCAGGCTGGTCTCGAACTCCTAGCCTTAAGCAATCCTCCTATCTTGGCCTCCCAAAGTGCTGGGGTTACAGGCATGCACTACTGTGCCTGGTCACTTAGGTCTTATGTGTCTTTATTCTTTTCCATTTGATCTATCTTGGAATGAGAGGGGTATATTAAGGTCTCCTACAATAAGTGTTTCTGTTTATTTCTATTTGCATTTCTTGGAGTTTCTGCTTTAGAGAAGTTATTGCTGTTTTATTGGTCACACAAATATTAATGTTATATTTTCTTTGTGATTGTAATGTTGAGCATTATAAAGTATCCTTAATGTCTTGATGTTCTTTGATTGAATTCTACCTTGTCAAACCAAGATTCTGATCTTTGCTTTATTTGAATTTGCATTTGCCTGAAAGTGTTTTATTTTTCACCTTTCTGAATCTATTTGTGTGAGGAATGTCTCTTGCATAGTTATTGTTGAATTGTTAGCTGAGATGAACATTTTTTTCATGTGGAAGGTAAGTTCATCCTATCATGTTTATTGATATGACTGATTTGTTTGGTGTTCTGTCATGTTTTATGTTATTTATACACATATTTTATATGTCTTCTATATGCATATATAATTCTTCACTATGTGATCATTTTTATATGCTCTTTTATTATTTGTCTTTTGGATTTAGGGAAATAAGTGCTCTTGTTCTACTGATTATCTCTACATTAATACATTTTGATGATACCCTTGATTTCCTTAATTTGAGATACACCTATATTAGTTCCTCACTGCAAGCAATAGTGACATTAGCTTGTAACTTCTTTCCTCAAATATTTAAAATAATATCTTTTCATTCCCAATTAATACCAATAAGACAAACAGCAAGCTTATTCTACTCTCCCTATTCTTCTCCCCTTTTTGGATAGAAAAGAGCTTTCTCTCATCAATATTTGATTATCCTGAAATTTAGATACAAGAAAGGCAGAAAAGATCCCTGAGTCTTTATTTTCTGGTTTTCAGAACAAAGAAGCCATAGAAGTTTCCAAAGGCACCAATGAGTTTCTTATTTTTAATATCATTTTGAACTCATGGATTTTCAGACATTTGATGTGTTTAAATCAACTGCAGATACTACCCTTTTTGATGCTTTAATTACCCCATTTTTGGCCAAGACTCACTTTGACTCCTGTGTCCTTTTGGCAATACTTTAGTAGTCTTTGTCAACTCCCTTGCTTTTTGGCACAATAAATGTCTCAAGCTCTTCTTGCCCTGGATCTGAAATCAGCTATTTCTACAAGGAGCCAAGGTTTACTTTTGGAGAACATGTTACCTTAAATATGTTCCCACTTTTCTTTTTCTTTTTTTTTCAGACAGAGTCTCACTCTCTTGCGTAGGCTAGAGTGCCGTGGC